AGAAGCCTGGCATTTGGCACAGTCACTGTGCAGGCAGTTTATGTCACCTAGGCCTCCGTGGTCTAGACTTGAAAGTATTCCTAGCCATTGATCAGCTCAAGGCAACAGAACCAAGAGCCATCTGCATTTTAGGACCATTTTCATTACTTAACAGAACTAAATTCAAGTGGAGAGTGAAACATCCATCTTCCAGTCTGCCTGGGCCACTGAGAGCACAAATAAACCAGAAGAGCCTATGTCTGAATCACTTTACCCCTTTCGTTAATGAGTATTCTGGGTTGCTCCAAGAACAATCATAACTACACACTGTCCCCGGAGATGTTTTCTCCTTGCTGACTCTATGCCTCTCGGATGTGAGACCTGAGATTTCTTTTTGTGTCCTTCTTGTTTTGAACTGTTCGGTAAGAGCAATATATGTAGCTGGAAGTAGGTGGAACACCTTGGACAGGAATTGTCACTGGTTGCATGAAGCTCAGGTTTAGGGATTTCTTACATCTCTGCTCACTCTACTTTTAGGAAGGAGGAAATGGGGGGGAGGAAGAGTCCACAATACAAACTTACAATGAAACAGAATGCTCCTGAAGCAATAGCCCACAAAGTCTGAGTGTCACAGACACCGTGACGAAGCTGAAGAAACGCCAGACAGGACAGTGACAGCAGCCTGTTGGTTTGCTGTTGTCATGAACTGGCAGATTCTGATGTGGAGTCAGAGGGTCTGAGTGTGAGGGAAAAAACTGGGGTGCAGTACAGCAGCAGGCGATATCGATGCCGAAAAGGGGGAGTTCTTCCTTCTGTGGAATGGCTTCAGTCTGGCCTGGAGACGTTGGACTGCCATCCCTGGAGTCTGACTCAAAGATTAACATCTGCCTGTTTGTGGAGGCTTATTGGGACAGAGGATGGGGACACTGGGGACAACTGTTCAAAACAATGGATTTGGGAATGGTTAGATAGAGGCGAGTTTAAATGCTCCCTTATGGTTTGAATTTTTTTTTTTCTTCCTGAGAGAAGACTCTAACCTCAGAAGGGTAGAAATAAATGACATGATCAATACCAGGGGCTTGCAGAAAAGATTGAGAAAAAACAAATCATAAAAGTTTGGCTCTTAACGAGGCTGCAGGTCCGTCCACAGTGAATGGTCATTTCTTTCAAGAGGCTTCAGGGTCTAGACATATTTCAAATGGGAGCAATGGGGACTGTACTGATAGGAACCAAGCACACCATTTTCCCAGCTGTTAACCCAGCCTGATCGTTTGCTTAATAAGAAAAATCTGCTTTCGGAAAAAAAAAAGGGGGGGAGGTTTATAGTAAACAATATTGCCCGGACTCACTCTCCAAGCCAGATGAATTCTGTCTTCTGATGGAAATACGAAAGGGCTCTTGGAGGCCAAGAAAAGGAGACTTTGTTAATCGAACTATGGGAAAGAGCATCAGCTAACAACTGTCCAACCAGAGGAAAGAAACAGCAGTCTCTTAGCATGGAAGGGAGAAGACGTGAATGAAAAGCCTTTGTTTCTGGTCCTTTCTTGGTCCTCTTTATCTCTATATAATGTTCCAGAACAGAGATCCCTCTGTGCCATACTATCCTAGACACGCACACACGTACACACGCACGCACGCATGTGTGGGTAAACACACACACACACACACACACACACACACACACACACACCATGTACCTCTGAGCAGTCTTCTCATCACAAGAAAAGCAACAGTCCTATCTTTTCTCAGGGCCTCATGGGTTTTGTGCAATTATTATAATAGTAATTCATTGTTGCCAACCATCACAGGAGGAAACAAAGGGGTAACTGGAGCTGACCTTTGCTGGTCCTGTCCTGGCTGGGATGCTGGCCATACAGATGCTTTAATGGGCCACCTCCCAGCTGTCCCACCATCCCAGCTGGTTTGGAACCATGTATGTATTTATGGACAGACCGGGGTTGCTGCTGGTGAGGGCATCTTTCAAGATTCCAATGAGGCTCCTCGCATCTCACTTCAGAGACCTCCAGGCTCTCTGAGGAAGAGCACACCTTACTGATGTGACCAGTATTCCTCTTTTTGTTTCTGCTAGTGGGAAAAAATCACTGTGACAAACATATAATACAACCAAGAAACTATCATAATTGCAATAGTTTTAAGTAAGTTTGTATTTTTGCCTTTACTTTTGGGAAGATTTTAAGACAGGATCTCTTTATGTAGCCCTATCTGTCCTAGAACTCACTCTGTAAACCAGGCTGGGTTCAAACTCACAGAGATCCACCTGCCTCTGCCTCCTGAGTGCAACACCACACCTGGCATGAATTTGTATCTTTCTATTACATCCATTTAAAAATAGTGGCAGATGTATTTGTAGACCAATGATAATAGCAATATACAATGCTTGGTTAGATTACGAATGTAAAGATCCTCTGACGTAGTAAAGATCCTGTGCTGGGCCCTCGCTCAGTAGTAGAATCTCTCCCCAAAACAAGAAGACCCTGGGTTTAACCCCAAGCATCACCAAAACAACCCACCAACTGATTCATTTCCTAACCAGAGCTCCTTAATATCAGATGCAATTTCAATATCCATGAAAAAGTTACTGTATAAACTCAAATACTAAAACCCAAGGGGCAATGTTTTTCTAAAATTGTCTTACAATCCAATAGCTTCACATAAATTCTTGCCCCGTTGCAGAATAGAAATGGACCCTGGTTGAGAAGGGGTGGGGGCAGGGGGACCCTGAGCACCCATTGCTATTATGGGATGTTAACTGGAGTGAAGTAGGGTGAACAGTTAAGGAAAAACATTTTATTATGCCTGTTTCTTCCCAAGAGAAAGTGTGTCAGGATGGTGGCCTCAGTTCAGTGGGCCCCCACTGTAGCTGTCATTGTCCCTCTGCTGGGCTATTTCATGCATCCCTAGTCTCTATTTTAAGGCACCATAAAGATTAAGAAAAAATCAAAGAAATATTTCCCAGGTTACTGAAAAATAGCACTCCTCAGAAATGTTCCACTGTGGAGGACAGGGTAGAAAATCCTCGTTTCACAGTTCTTCTTGTGCAGCTTGCTCAGTGAAACTGCATGTTGTAGGGAAAGTCACCGTTATTTTTTCACGCCCGGGAATGCTTGCTGCCGGAGCCTTTTAGACAGTAATTTCAAGCGGCCCAACCATTGAACAGCCGAGCAGAAACTGCGTTCTCTGTCTGTTAATGCTTTTGAGGCCCTTACATAAAAGCCTGATAATGAAGTATGAAGAGGAACATGTCAAAGGCCATGGTTGTCAAATTTCTCCTCTGGCACAATGGGGACGATGAACCAGAATGTTTTGTTAGAGGGATAATCAATATTGAAAACTGTTAAATGTTAAGAATCACTTCTCACTGGTTACCTAAAAGCAGAATCTGAACAAAGTATACATTTTTTGATTCCAACTGAGACTCACAGGAAAAAGCAATTAAAGTTTGAGCTCGTTGCACTGGAGGTCCGGGCATTTCCTCTCTAAGTCGGGCCGGGCAGGGAGGGCTCTTAAACCCTGTGTTTAAATTAGAACGGACTTTCACATCTCTATTCTCTTGTTTTCTTTTTGAATCCAGACACTTGAATTTGGACAGACAAGCAACCCAGCCACCCTTCAGTGTGCCCGTGTCAGTGCTGCAATGAAGTGCACATGACCCCCTTCAGCAGGGAGGGGACACACAGTAAAGGTATTTTTTATGGAACAATTCTTCACACTGCCCTGGTGACTAGGGAGGGGCATCTCGTGTTTCTCTTTTGCTGATATTGAATCAGCTGAAGAGAACGATGGGCACCAGTAAAACGCCCTGAAATAGTCTCCCGGTCCTTTGTCGTTTTGTTCTCATGAGGCAGAGATGGCTTTTTTTTCCCCCTTTTCATGTTGAAATATTCAATTAAAAGGCCAATTAAAACTGACCAATTATTTGGCGGTTTTGCTCATAATCAGGAATGTTGCAAATCATTACACTTAGCTGTGAGCAGTTATGCTAAGCTGGCGAACTTTGAAATCAACACTTTAATAGAGATTGCTAGGCTCATTTACGATTAGAATACACCCTCAATTAGCACAGGAAGCAGGTTCCAGCAAAGGCGTTTCTATTCTGGCTTGCTGGATAGGATGTGGGGCAGTTGGATTCGTATCTTAAGTGGATGGAGAAGTGAGAAGTGACTGGGGTAGGGGGTCGATTGAGCATCTGAACTTAGGAGGAACTCACATTGCCTAGCGTGTGTCTCTTGGATTGTACCTCCTTATATCATCATATCCTCACTTATTAACACTTGTATATACAGATGCTTTACATGGTCCCCAAGACCCAAGATAGTATCACCTAGCATTTGTCCTAGAGTTTGCAAAGCACTTTCACATGATTTCTGATTTTCAGAGTGATTTAGGAATTTCTGTACACTGAACAACTTAAATACATTTGTAGAAAACCTCAGGTTTCTAGAATATTCATCTTCAAACCTGTTTGTTGACCCAATGCCCCAATAGCTCTAATTCCCTTATAATGTCTAGGGAATGCTAATGTGAGTAGCTTCTTAAAATATCCTGAAGAAAAGTCAGAAGGTGCAGAATCAGATCCTGTCCATTCCATCTCCAGGGGAGTGAGCACACAGGGTGTCTGCTCTGAAGCATCTCTGGGGTCCATTCTGTCTCCAGGGGAGTGAGCACACAGGAGCCTGCCCTGGGGCATCTCCCCCGGCCACAACAGGGTCAGGAGTTAGCGCTCCAAGCTACTGTCTTTTCCCCCAAAGCACTCCAAATTTGTAGGATAGTCACTTATAAAAATATACAAAGTTCCTTGTTTTCAAATCCAATCTTTTATTGGCAAGAATCCTAAAGGTTTGCTGAGACCAGTTACACTCTTAGGGCAAGCCCTACTGCATAGAATGGCTTTTCCCAAGAGAGCGCTCAAGGCCTCCGACTTGTCCAGAAATGAAAGCTAGCATTCTCCAACGTACCATGCGCCCTTCCTTACACATCCCACATCCAAGTAGACTACTTACCAGGCCTGGCTGAGGTGGAAGACACAAGTGACAAGAAAGAAACCCGCGGGCTTCGTAAGGGACATAGTCTTCTGAGACACAGAGGGAGAAATTCTCAAAAGTTGGGAGACAGGGGACATGGGAAGTATTCTTCGTCGGAGGCAGAGGGATGGAATTCTCCTCAGAGCTCGACTTCCTTGGTGTGTAAGCGATCCCAAGCAGAGTTAAGGGGAGGTGAAATGGAGCTACCTAACATCCAAAGAAGAGATTATCTACTTAATTAAAGTTTTTCCCCCTCTAAGTCCTTCAGCCAATCAGAACTCAAGAGCCAGAGAAAGATTGAGTCGATCAAAAGAACACTCCAGGATCCTCCCAGACAAATGCAGAAGGGGACGAGGAGAATGGGGACAAAGAAGGGAGGGGAGAAAGAGACATAGCAAATCCCCTCCACATAATCACTGCGTGGCGTTGCTTCTCTCTTGCTTTCTCTGCCACCACACTACAAGCGTCCCCCTAGCCACGCATATGTACACACAGACGCATCCACACAGGGAGAGCCTGGTCCCCAAGAGGGATTTAGGGCCAATCCCGCTTTCCAGTTGGTCTTTGTAGCACTCTGAGACTGAATTTGCATTTGGGATAGCTTTCCTCTTGCCCTGGGGAGCCACAGGCCCTCTGATCTGGGGTGGCTGTCTGTGTACTTTCTAGCTGAAAAGAAAGTTTGGGAACTTTGGGACGTCAATGATTAACTGCTATAATCTCAGCGCAATGCAAGAAAGACACTGTGAAAATCGCACACACACACACACCCCATGCGCACACACGATTTCCACCTGAAATATATTTATGCGTGCTACTGTGATAAGATGGTCTGGGCGAACGAAATATTACACAGCAACAGACTGCTTGTAAATCACACAGGATGGTTCAGAAAGTTTTCTGAAGGACATAAAGCCTGGGTTTCTAAGATGGGATGAGATTTCAGCAAGGAGATGAAAGTGGCCCCAGACTCCCCAGCTTCTCAACTCTGGTGCTGGGCTGGGACTGTTCCTCTAGCTCACACCGCTCTGAGTGCTCCCCGTAGGGAGGAAGACTCGCTTCAGTCTTAGTGCAGGTGCTCCTCAGAGGGCTCCAACCTCACTCATGGTTCGAGTCTTCTATCTGAGCTTTTCTGCCGTCTTGCTTCCCGGCTTCCCGGAGTCTGCGCTCCTCTTTTAGAGTTCCTCTTGCACCCGAACTCTCTGGCCAAACTGATGCCAACAAGACAAAGAATCATCCAGCTGAATTGCTACCCGTATCGCTCAGGCCAGATAAATTCGAGGTCCAGCCCTTGGAATCTGGTAAATTTATTGTCCACTTGGAAACCTCCAGACCAGGTCTTCATTTGAGATTACAGTGAGCTCAGCCATATTAACTCCTTTGGTCTGTCCATCTGTCCACATCCAGAAAGGTGGTAGCAGATTTACTAGGGTTAATCTCTCTCTCTCTCTCTCTCTCTCTCTCTCTCTCTCTCGTTGTTGTTGGCTTGTTTTCAATACTGGGATATTGAGATAGAGTCTCCCAAAGTAGTTCAGGCTACCCTTGAACTCACAGCAACCCTCCGGTCTCAGCCCCCTCAGCTCTGGAATACAGGTCCAAGCCACCAAACCAGGCAAAAAAAAAAAAAAAAAAAAAAAAAAAAAAAAAAAAAAAAAACTCATGTTGCAGAGTATTTGAGATCAGTCTCTGTACATTTGTGTTTTAAGGTTGGGATCATGTGAGCTGTCAGGTGTGTAATAAGTCTTATTTTGCTGAATTGGCTTGTTTTTGTTTTAATAAAGGACTTAATAACTTTTATTTTAAGTGTTGCTACTTCAATCAGTTTGGCATTGAATAAGATACATTGACTTGTTGAGATAAAGCTCTCAGTGGATTAGATACAATAGATCATCAATATAGAAAGAGACCCACTGTGCTTTTGCTCCAACTTTATAGCCCCATGAATTTCCTCGAACCATTCCCAGGTCCCAGGGCTGGAGGTCCTTCCTGCTGCTTCAAATCAGAGGCCTCAGGCCATGGAGAACTGCATTCATTTGCATAATTTATTCACAGTTTATCTAATTTGGTTGTTTTTACCATCATAGAGCCAAACATTATGTATTTTTGGAGACAGGGTTTCTCTGTGTAACAGCCCTGGCTGTCCTGGAACTCACTTTGTAGGCAGTGACTGGCCTCAAACTCACAGAGATCAACCTGCCTCTGCCTCCCAAGTACTGGCATTAAAGGCGTGTGCCAACAGGCCTAGCTCAGAACATTAGATGTTCTTGAATCTCCTGGGATATAACAAAAACTGATATATTGAAGTGGTTTACAATCCAATTTTTACTTAGACATTGTTATTACTGTGTATTAATCATACAAAATAGGCTTCATTTTGATATTCCCATACATGTGTATCCCAAACTTTACCATATTCTCTCCCTAGTGCCCTCTCTACAACTAGCTTTCTCAATCTTTGTCTGTTTAGTTTACTTTCCTTGGGTGTTTTCTTGAAATTAGTTTAGACCTAAAAATATGACAATTAAGGTAGACAGACAACCAAGAAGCAAAATACTGACCACACCCAGGGATGTCACGGCTTTCAATTATTAATACTGACACTATACTATATTGTTTAGTCTCTACCTTTTCTTCTAGACAGGCTTTTACTGTGTAAGACCTTACAGGCTGACCTGGAACTCACTCTGTAGACCAGGCTGGCCTCAAACTCATAGAGATCTGCCTGCCTCTGCCTCCTGAGTGCAGGTATTAAAGGCATGAGCCACCATACCTGGACTTGTTTATTTGTTTAGATTTATTTTACCTATTCATGTGTGTGTGTGTGTCTGCTAAAAGAGAATGCCACATTCTCTGAGCTGGAGCTGCAGGTATTTGCAGGTCTCTAGGCTTTTTTGTGAGTGCTGGGATCCAAATTCTGGTTTTCCTGATTGCTCAGCAATCGCTCCTAATCATGAAGCCATCAGGAGCTGAAACAAGGGGAGCTGAAGGACAAGAACCAGCTTGGCCCAATAGACTCTATCTCAAAACCAAAAAGAAACAACAAACAAATGAAAAACCAAAGGGGAGATTACATTACATGGGGGGTAAGGGAGTGTGCATCAGTCACGTGACAGAAGAATGAATAGTTAGGAATAGGCCAGAATGTTAGGTATGGTTCCGGTGTGGAAGGACCCTTTGCTAAGGCACTTGGAGTTCAACTGGAAACTAGGAGAAATACACACACACACACACACACACACACACACACACACACACACACACACATGAGTGTGCATGCAAACGTGAGCACGTACACACATATGTTTAAATTTTTATTATTTATTCATTTGTATGTATGGGAGTGTCTTTGCACATGCTTAGGGGTGCTAGCAGAGACCAGATGAATGTGTCAGATCCCCCAAACTACAATTACAGGTGGCTATGAGCCACCAGACAGGAATTCTGGAAACCAAACTGGGACTCTGGAAGAGCCGGAATTGTTCCTAGCCTCTGAGCCATCCCTCGGCTCCCTTCAGAAGTTTTAAGTAACATAAAATTGTTTGGGTTAGAGACTATGTTTTTAGCAGTGGTGAGAGGCAGATAGAACAGGATGGAACCCGAGGACACAGAGACAATTTAGCTCTGTTTCAGAAACCCAGGAGAGGAAAGACAAAGGCTGACGCATGGCAATGAACAGAGGGCCCCAGTTCTAGGTCGCTGATGAAGACAACCGAGGCCGCTAGGCAATTACTTAAATAAAAGCATCATTTAAATTTTAACCTGGCATTAAAACTCCCCTTGAAACAAAAACCTCTTTTTATAAACCAAATAAGAAGACTAATAGGAATGGGAATATTTTCAACATATTGTGCTAAAAAGAAGTATCAATTACAAGGAGCTATTAAAAATGGCTAGGATGGGCCAGCAAGATGACTGAATGGCTAAAGGTGCTTGCTGTGTAGGATTGGAGACCTGAGTTCAAACTCCGGAGCCAACATAAAGATGGAGGGAAAGAACCAGCTCCACAAAGCTGTTTCTGACCTCTGCGCATGCGCCTTGTAAGAACTCCCACATGAAGTTATTCGGGTCAGGTGCCAGTGTTGGGAAGGGAAAAGTTTTGGCTACCTTGACCATTCTTTCTTTAAACATCGCTCTTGTCCGGTTTTCTACATATTAAGTATTTTAAAATACAGCACATTTAGGACTGGGGCATGAAAATGCTTGTATGCATTATCCAGCTCCATCAAATCCAAACACTTATGTGTCCTCCTCTCATCTAAAATGTCGCAGACTGCCTTCCAGTCCCTGCCATTGTCTCTCTCTCAATTCCCTTCCCCACATGTGTCGCCTACTTGTGTCAGATGCCTATAATTCCCACGAATACTCCATATTTACATGTGTATTTATGACATATCCATATAGCACTCTTTAGTATGTTTCTGAAACATATACACACAGTCATATTCCTGTCCAGCTCTGTCTAGTTTCTCATATTACATCCAGCATTTCAATGTTTTCTGATTTCAATCTCTTCCTCTCTTTCTGTGTGCCTGTGTGTGTGTGCCTGTGTGCACATACATGTGTGTGTGTGTGTGTGCCTGTGTGCACATACATGTGTGTGTGTGTGTGCCTGTGTGCACATACGTGTGTGTCTGTGTGCATGCATGCGTGTGTGTGTGTGTGTGTGTGTGTGTGTGTACGTGCGTGCTCGCTCAAGTGCCTGTGTGTGTGCATGCATGCTTGTATGGTATCCAAAGAGGCAAAAAGATGGTGTCAGATCATTAGGAGCTGGAGCTGTGAACAGCTTGATGTGTGTGGGTGCTGGGAACCATACTCTGAAAGAGCAGGGAAGCTCAACCCTCTCTCCACCCCCAGCTTCTTTATTTAGACTGATACAGTGTGTTCCTTTTATGTGTATAATGAATTTATTCTCTTTTGGTGGCTATTCTGGTTTTCTTTTACTCAGATAGTCTTGTCTCTGGACCTGAAGCTTCAGAGTTTCTGTAGAATACATAACTGCAAATGGAATTCTTGATAAAAAATGTGGTCTTTTTTAGCCTTACCAGGTTTAGCCAAATTTTCGCCAGAGTGTTCACACTAGTTTGTTTTCTCCTGGGTTGTA